CCTATCCATCCCGCCCCGCTCCCGGAGGCACCGCAGCCACCACGCCTGCCCCCTGAAGCTGCCAACACTTCTCCACCTCAAAAGCCACAGCTGAAGCTGGCGCGGGTACAGAGCCAGAACGGTATCGTGCTGTCGTGGAGCGTGATGGAGGTGGACCGGAGCTGTGCCACCGTGGACAGTTACCATCTCTACGCCTACCACGAGGACCCGAGTGCCACCATGCCCTCGCAGTGGAAGAAGATCGGGGAGGTGAAGGCCCTCCCGCTGCCTATGGCGTGCACTCTCACACAGTTCGTCTCTGGCAGCAAATACTACTTTGCGGTCCGGGCTAAGGACATCTATGGACGTTTTGGACCCTTCTGTGACCCCCAGTCCACAGATGTGATCTCTTCCCAGAGCAGTTAAACTAGAGATCTTTGGAGCCTTTAAACCTGTCCTACTACCAAGAATTACCCCCGTTTTGGAGGGTTGGTCCCGTGCATGAAATTCACTTTTAAATCCACTCTCTGCAGGATGATTTTAGACAGTTGTGTGATACACTACATGCATTCAGAACCAAAAGAAAAATAAAGTCTCACCTGCAGCAAGAGAGCCTGTTTTTTCTGGATAGCTCAAGTCATGGGCTGTTTGAAAATTGCATTTTCCCTTCCGTTGAGAGCTGTTCCACCCAGATACCTACCTACCCTTTATCCAAGGGCACCCTGGATGCCTGAGATTCTGCTTCAGAGCAGGAACAAAATAATAAATTACAGTTTGTCTGAAGCAAAGCACACACATCCGTAATATCTGTCCAGGCACTGAGAGGAGGGCAGGAACAGGCTTGCCTCCTGCCCCCCACCGCTCGGTGAGCTGGCTGCCCTACGGAGGGTGGCTCAAGGTCTCACTTTTGTACTGGAAAATGGAGTGGTCTGGTCTGATTTTACAAACTGTAATGAGCTCTCTAAGGGGAGGGAAGGGAACTTGAGTCTGGCCAGGGAACCAGTACGTGTGGTAAGTCAGAGGTGGTGGGGAAAAAAGAAATTTGAATCACCCCACTACCTCCTGCCTCTCCTGAGTAACACTCCTCTGCTTGCACCATCCTGCCCCACTCACGCTGGGAGCGTCCCTAGGTCAGATCTGAAAGGGGATTGATGAGACTGCATTCACACCTCTCCAGCTCAGATGAGTTCTCTGCCCCTCCCCTCATACATCCAGCCCTATTTTTTAGATTTATTTTGTGCCTTAAAGAATAATTTCAGAAATAAATGTAGCCAGATACCTTGTGGTGTGCTTTTATTTGCTTGGAGTTATTTTTCCCTTCACCCTTCTGCTTCTCATTTTCCTGGCCTGCAGTAATTATTATTTCTGTAAAGACCAGGAGGTGCAACATGTGATGTTTTTATCTGCGGTATCATTCAACCCTTTCCTCACTGTAATTCTTGAGTAGTTGTTTTTGTCCCGTCAAGACTATTAAGAGTATACAGACAGTATTTTCCACCAGAGCCTTTCCCTGTTTTCGGGAAAGCTGTGATGCTGCAGTTCAGCCAAAGAAGAAACCCCTGTGGTGTGGCACCGTGAGAGCTTCTTGCTGTTTGCACTCGGTCGGGATGGTCAGTTAGTACAAAAAGATAAGAAGGTGGCTTCCCTGTCCTCTTCTCTGTCTCGTCACCCGCCTCCCTCTGCAGAAACCCATCACACCTGGAGCAGTTCAGAAACTATTTTAGACACCGGCCTAAAACTCGTGAGCAATTGCAAATGTTAAAATAGGTGCTTTCATGATGCTTCTGAGCCAAGAAGAGACACTGGTAGATCTGCCCCACTGTCATTGACAGGTTAAACGTGCTTTATGCAGAACCAAATGGTGACACACCTGGAGAAGACAGTATATGTAAGGTGGTAATTTTTGCACTTTTCGGTGAAACCAAACAGTGGATTTAGAAGGGAGTTGTCTCTTTTTTTTAAAAATGTACTTCACCATGTAACAAAGCCGTAGAAGGTAACATTTTTTTAATTCCAATGCTCTCTTTCTTATAACCAACATTTTAAAATGTAAAGCAAAGTTGAAAAAGAGCAGGGAAAATTAAATCCCAAAGCATGGCCGGTGAAATGTGCTATGAGATTATGGGTTCTTCAGTTGTGTTCCCTTAGAGAACCTTCATCAGAGAAAGAAAGGGCATTGTGGACTTCTGTCTGTGCTGTTTTGCTGCACTCCTTCACGTAGCTGGGTTTGTCACTTCTGTCAGGTGAGTAATGAGTATTTTCTGTATGGAAACTTGCATTTAAAGTAAAGTACAGCAGTTTTATTGATTTGGGCGAGGAAAAATTTTGTCTAAATCCCAAGTATCATGAGAGGAGGTTCACACTGTATCTCTTGCGTGAAGGACGTGTAACCTTTCCTTTGAATAACAGTTGTCCCTGTATTACTGGTGCCAATAATCAATAATGCCTTGAATTTTTCTATGTTTAATTATGTTTAATTAAATGTTTTGTCTACCTATTTCAAGGAATAATTCTTTTATGATGCATTTAGTCTACTTACAGACTTAAGTTGGGTCCTTATAAAGCCAGTTCTGTACTAGAGGTTAGAGCAGTTCATTCCACTTGATGGCTGTCAAGTCCTCCTGGGCTATTTGTTTTTAAATGTCTTTGAGGTGGTACCAAAGGGCCGCTGGCCGTATCAGTACATTGAGGTTTTATAGTTTGAAAGTTAAAATAAATATTAGAATGCAATCTAGAATTCATGCTGCTTATTTAATTGTGATTCCAGCCCAAACTATACATGAGCATTTCTATAGTTTGTGCTTGTGATTAGGTCACGATTGTTCTTCGCTTTGTCTTGCTTGGGATGAGGCGGGGGTGAGAATCCTGTGTTACAATTCCTCGCTTTCCTCCAATGGAGGTGTTGTTAGGGATGGTCTGGTGGTGTGTTTGGAGGTTTTGGGGGCTGTATCCTTAGAGAAAGAAGACTCATCTTTATTTACTAAAGAAAGATGTAGTTTTCAACCTAACTGATTGTGAAACCTGGCTTCTGGCTCAATAGATCCATTTCTGCTGTGTATGGCAGAGCACAGTTGATATTTTTTTGTGCCTAGATGAAATAAGCCAGCTCCTGGCTGTGGGCTGAAGCCATGGCAGGGTGGGGTGAAAGCCAGCTTCTCTTTTGTTTCATCCCAGCAGAGCTGCTCAAGGTCTCATTTCAGGGCTTTAAGCAAGTAGTGGTGGCAAAGTATGTGATACAGTGTGGCTTGACTTTGAAACACCTGCCTGAGCTTGGAGACCGAACTTGGAGGTGGCTGCTGCTTAAATCACTGATGCGCAAAGAGAGAGCTGTGCCACTTCTGTGAAATCACTTTCCTGGTGGAGCAGATCTCTGCGGTGATTATTCACCCCTTATGCTAACGAACAGGAGTATTGCTCAATTCCTTAACTCATGGCAATTCTTCCCTGTGTTTTACCTCCCAGAAATGATAAAGCTATTGAGATACTCAGTTTCTGCTAGCAGCAAACATTCAGAAATAATTTATTTCATTTAATAGACTTTATTTGAAAGTATTACCAAAATATCCTGAGAGTGTTCAGTACAGGTCTTAGTGCTGTGCTTCTAGACTGGGCTCTGCTTCATAACAGTGCGAGTTGCTGGTGGCTTCCAACAATCAATCCATTTTGGAATACGCTAAAAATCTCTGTATGGCTTTTAAGTTGGGTTTAGTTCCATCTCTGCACTTCATGCAAGTTTTTCCACCTTATTCTCAGTACCCTGATGTGGAGTTGTTTCTGACTTGGCGTTTTGCTGTTGCCACTGGGTATGTACCATTTCAGCAGTACCACCTTGGATCTAGTTCCCTGTGTTTTAACAAACCCAGTGCTGATCCTACAGCTGTGTTTTCCATCCTTATTTCCTTTCTGGGTTGGTTTTAGGTTTGGTTTGTTTTCTCTGTGTGATACAAAGGGCATCTGGATGTCCAGGGTGAAAGTAATTCGAGTTAGTTCAGTTCCTGGCTGCAGAGGAGCCCTGCTCCTCTGGGTGGGTGGGTGCTGATGGCCAAATGCCGTTCCTTTCCAGTGCGCTCCAGCTTCACTGGCCTCCTTTATTTCAGTGTGCATCTAAAAAAGCTTTATTGGATTAAAATAATTAAATGCTAGGAAAGGGGCAGACTGTAGGTACAGCAGCTGTACTGTATCTGCAGTGGCGGCTTGAGAAAAGGTGAGGGTGCAGAGACAGGTTCTCCTCAGCCTTGATTTATTTCCATGCTCTGAGCAGCTTCCCCAGGAGCAGCACTTGGTCTTGGACTTTGCTCCTTTGAGTAATTTGTGCTACTGTTGGCCACGCCGGGTCACCGAGCACAAGCACCGAGACACTCACCCCTCCCAAGGGTTTAGCACAAGGCTGGAAACGCCCATGGTGTCTTCCCTGTAAAAGTAAGGGGTCTCACCCTGCTTCCTTCCAAACCCCTCGTGCCTTCAGCGGGAGCACGACTGGGCCCAGGAGTAAGATCCGAGCACCATTTTGTACTGTAACAAAAATAGTCACTTCAGCCCTTCCTCTGTGCTGTTCATCTTAAATGTCCAATAAATTAGAATCTGTATTATATGTAGGGACAGGTCATGTCTGTTCCTCTCCCCAAACAGCCATTCCCCAGTATTAGCCTATTGCGTACACTGTACAAAATCAAGCTGTGATTCTGCCTTCTTATAAACTCTTTAGTATTTTCATTTAGTCAAAAATATCTATCCAGATTTTTTAAATAGAAGCTTGATATATTAAATATATATTTTTTTAATTTGTTGGTTTGGATAGGGGTGGGCATTGTATGAAAACACTGGAGGAAGAGGAGTTCAAATGACACTGAGCCAGCCCTGCCACCAAAATTTCTGTTCCCCTTCCAAAGACCAAAGGGAGAAAGGAGAAAAAAAAAAAAATAGCTGAGACGAAGCAAATGAATGAATTTTCCTTTTCATCCCTTCTAAGTACCTGTTAAAAATGTATCTTTATTTCTCATTATCATTACGCAGGCTGAGCATTCTTTTTTCTTTTTTTTTTAATACATATATACACACACACACATATATATATATTTGAAGTGCTGTCTTAATTTAATGGGGTATAGCTGTAAATAAGACATCTGGGTAGTAGCTGTTTGGGGAGTCCTGTTCAGCTTTAGTAATGTATTGGCTGTTGGGAGTCAAACGTGCAGAATCCTTTGTTAGGAAACTCAGAATCTGGTTTCTTGTTTTATTTTGCAGCTGGATTTGTAAATACACACACACAAAAAAGGACTGAGTTCATGTCCAATTTTGAACTGTGCAGTTGCAAGCTTTCCCCATTTTTGTATGTACTATAGATTAGTGTGTGTGTCTGTGTTAACTGTAGTGGGGTTTTTGTCTGACACGCCTGAAATTTATACTTTGAAATAAACTACTGGGTTTTTAATATTTTGAGTCATCTGTGCTTAGTTCCAGACATCTCAGGAGACATCTCATTCAGAAAGAGCTCTTCCTCCTCCCAAGTGCTGTCACTTGCAGTTGGGGGACACAGGCTTTTGAGGTTGGCAGGTTTTCTGGAACAAACATGGAACAGGGATGGTTTGGCTCCAGGTCATTCCCAGAAAGGCAACTGCATGATCATCCTGCCCTCCCGGCCTTCTCACAGAAGAAAAAAAAAAAGACAAGACAAAAAGCAATGCTGTAACTTCTGGAAAATCAAAACAAAAAGGGGTGTGTGTATCCTGAACAGACAGAATCTGGTAACTTGCACCTTAGAGCTGCCCCAGAACGGGACAAGAATGGAAAGCAGATGGTTGGTGGGACTCCCCCTCCAAGGGACTGGGCTTGACTGCTGAAAAAACTTATTCTTTAAGCAAGAGGCTGTGGCCAAAACACAGGTTTTACACAGCATTAGACCTTCAGCGTGCGGCTGCGGTCTCAGCTTGCCCCACTGGCCCCACTTCTCAAGCCAGGGAGCAAACGGTTGTGCACAGAACTCATTTCCACAGTTAAGGGTAATAAAAAAGCTGGTTTAATGCAGGGATGAAGAAAGCCTCCCCCCACACTTGTTGCTTTTCAAGGGTAGAAGCCAGGCACAGCCCCATGGAGTATGTTGTGCAGAGTTGAAAACCAGTAACGCTGCCTTACTTGAAGCCAGTACAGCAAACTCTGCCTCTTGGCACCCAACTCTGCTGCCAAATTGTAGAGAACTCAAATTGAGGACTTAAAACGTGGAGTTATTGACGTGCCTACCCCCAGTTAGTGCTGAGCCCACACTTCAAAGGTGCGTAATTTACATGTGATGGTAATAATTAGTTTTCTGTCACTTACTAAACTTGCTTCAAGTCAGTGACCAAAAGATGATGGACTCAAAGTGATCCCTGCACAATGACACCTGAAAGCGCAGTTTCTCAAACAGCCTATTTAGAATAAAAGTATACATACTGCACATAGTTTAGACCCTTGGTTTTATCATAAAATAGAGCATAACCACTTTGCTGAAGCACTGCTGTAATGGCAGTTTGTGCTGGTATAGAGGGAAGTGAATAAGTCAACACCCAGAGCACTCCTGGATTTCAGAAACAGAGCAGTAAAGGAATCAAAAGCTTACATTAGATGTGGTCATTCTGGTGGTCTTGGCTGGGAGGAGAAATTTCTTCTGTTAAGCGTTCTCTACTGACTGAGCTGCAGCTTTTGCAAAGGAGGAGTTCATCACAACCACACCTGAAAATCTTAAGTTTAGAAGGCAGAAGCCACAGGACTTGGAAAAACTTGCAAGCAGGATATGGAAAAGGGGACAGTGTGTGCTGCTAACCCTCTCCTTAGAGCACACCTTCCAATATTTTTCCCCAGAGCAAGCCACAGAGGGGAGTGAGATGATCAAAGAGACCTTTTAACTTTATGCACCTGCCTGAGAATTAAGCTGTCAGTTCTCTTCCCCTGCCTGTAGGTCCACGCTGCCCTACTTGGAGCCGCCTTCTCCAGTCCCTGAGGGTGCTGGGGAGAGGAGCTGGACCCAGCTGCTGAGGTTGTGGTTGGCAGATCAACCCAGGCCGGCCTGCTGAGGGAGGAAGGACAGAGGACAGCACAGTAAGAAGAATGCAGTGACCTTTAACAGTACACCCATCAAAGGCAAAAAAAAAAATAAAATTAGCCACAGTCACATGGATTCGAGTCCTAAGGCTCAGAAGGTCCCACTGATGTAAACATTTACTCAGAGAAAAGGGCTCTTAAAAGTAGAGCTCAGTTTTCCCACAGCTGGCTCTGAGCACAAAGCAGCTCCTGCCTCAGGGCAGGAAGCTCCAGGTGGGAAGAAGGCAGAGCTCCCAAATCCCTGCACGTTTGCAAATGGGCCTGGCACATCTGCTGCCTCCACTCCCTGCAGGGGGGAGCGTCAGAAACACTGCCCAACACAGCAATTAATTGGCAATTTCCTGGTCCTTGGGGACCAGCTTTCAAACAGTACTTCTCCAGTACTGTTTTTACATAAGATTGGGTGAAAAGGCAGTAAAATACAACCTGCAATGTTGTCTGTATTGCCTTGGAGTGACAGTCAATTAGCAAAACAGCCATCCTCTGGCCACTCTGTGTTTCCAGTCTCAAACAAACAGCTGATTCTTGCTTCTCTGCTTGCCTCTGGCTCAGATCCCTCACCTGCCCTTCCTCACCCAGCTCCATTGCTCCATGCCCGTTACAGCCTGGCCAGTTCCCTTCAGTCTGTGGCAGCAGCTCTGTGGCTGCCAGTCTCCAGTACAGGAGTTTAAAACACGCCTCTGGAGGCAGTGACCGGCTGCAAACACCTGAGGGCTATGCAAAATAAATAAATAAATCACTTAGTTCATATTTAGTGCTTATTCAAAAAAGCATCAAGATTGCTGCCCTGGAAGGCCGAGAGCTGCAACCAGAGCGTCCCACTGTGAGCTCACAAGGCTGACACACCAGGCAGAGGGTGAGACACCCTCGACGACAAGGGACAACAGACAGGGCTCCAAGCAAACAGCACAAGGTAAGTGACACATGGCAGGTGGAGCTTCTCCGTATTTGGGGAAGGGCTTTTCCAACCCCTTACCATTCTGTGATATTTAGAGCCTCCAAGGCCCAGCACAGAGGCAGGGCTGGTTTTGAGCTCTGCTGTTCACACCCAGGGGGACATCACGAGTCCCTGGTGCCCGCTGCCCTTCATTCAGCACAGCTGGAACCGGGCAGGGAGGGGTGGCTGGTATTGCCAAAGATGACACAGAGGTGTTCTGTAAGCACAGAGCTCGGGGCAAGGACAAGCCACACGTGGGGCAAGGGGCTGACAAAGGGCCCAATGTCCCTACAGTCCCAGGGACTGTGAAGACACCTTCACTGATGAGAGAACCTCAGGGGTGGAAGCAGAAGTAAAGGGAAGGGGTGCTGTGTTGTGAAAACTGTGACCAGGGATGCTTCCTCCCCGCTACCTCTGGCAGAAAGCCCCCGTGCAGCACCGCCATCTCCTTGGGGTCACTAGAGGCACCCAGAGAACATCACACTCACCCCCCTCTGGCACAGGCACAGCTGAAAGTGGCACACGCAGCAACACACACAACTTTTGGCTGCATGTGTCTGGCTACCACAGCTGAGTAATTTTGCTCAGTGAATTTTACCCAACAAAGAGCTGTGCTGGAGAACAAAGAGCAACTCTGGGGCAAGTACTTCAGCAGTTTGTCATCTACAGAGCGCTCTCCTGCCCCTGCACATGCTCTCTCCAGCCTCTCACACTTACCTCCTGCAGCTCCAGCAAACAAATCACTTCAGTCCCTGCATGGATTTTTCATCCTCTGCAAAAGCTTTGCTGTAACTTCTGGTCTCCCTCCTCCCTTGGCAGAAATCAGCCCTACTGTTGCTGGAGAAATACTAGAAGCAAAGGGTACAATTAACCACTGTAAACAATTCGCAAGATGTGGCCCTGGAGAAAGAAGAGGAGGATACCATAAATTAGCCAAAACAAGGGAATACCAAGATAAGCTCAAGGGGAATAGAATTGCTAACAAGGCCAAAGAAGACATCACGTGAACTATCCTAATTAACATAGTTAAAAAAAAAACCCACCCTCAGGTAGGGAAAGCCCCCTACTACCAAAAGCCCCCTCCTCACAGAGCAGGGTAGTAAAAATGCTACGATTTTAAGTAGAGAGGAGGCACAGCAAGAACCAATGGGATGGTGATGGCTAAAGCTTAACTGTAAAAAGTACAGATAACTTGCTTAGCTCTTACTTGAAAAGCATAAATACTTAACTCTGAGCTTACCAGGCTGTGCTAGCGTCGGGGATGAGCCACCTCGCACCAGTCTCTTTGCAGAAATGATCTGAACAAGTATCTCACCTCTGTGTGTGTATCAGCTTCTTGTACACCAGCTTAAAGCAGCCCAGATTGAGAACACTGTGACAGCCAACTGTTTAGGGTAGAACCTCACCTCTGCTGCAGTAACTCCCTCCCTATCACAGGAGCTAAACTCCATTGGGTTGACCAAAAATTTCACACTGCTCAGTCTTCACCTTCATAAGGCAGGGCAGTGCTGTGCGCTGTTTGGCTTGGACCATCAAGGCCATGAGGAAAGAGCTGTTTATTTTGTTTTACCTAATTACATGTACAACATCTAACGCAGAACAGCCCAGTGACTGGACTCCTCAGTGTAAAGACAGGTCACTACCAGCAACACAAACAGCCCCAGCCCTACAGCCATCTCCCTGTCACGTTCTGCTCCGCAGCTGAGGGTGCAGGCAAAGAGGTCACTGAAGCACTGCATGGACCAACCAGCAACAGATCCATTGCACAGACACACACACAACTCTGTCCCTGCTGGAGCAGGGCTGTGGGGTGTGTTTCCAAAAGCACCAGGCTACTTTCAGAAGTCACCAGGCACATCCCTTCACTGCCTTTCGGTGAGGCAAAGGGAAGGGGAGACAACCTGCTTTGGCCAGACAAAGGAAACCTTGCAAACGCCCCTGAAAGCCATGCTCTGCAGACAACTGCTCTGCCATGGCAAACATGGCCTTGACTCTGCTAGTGACATTCCTGGATGAGATTTAACAGCACATCTCGCAGGTGCTGCTCGCCTAAGAGGTAGAACATCCAGCCAGCGCTGGGATCAGGCCACCATGGCCCAAAGCAGCCACCTGGCATTGAGGTTCACTCCTGCTCTGGGAACAGCTGCGATGATGGCTCCCATCCCAGGAAAGCAGTGCCATGCCAGCTTCCCATCAATCCTAGTCAGAGGAAGGGCGGTGCAAACAGCTCAAAAGGGCTGCACCGAGGCAGCTGGTGTCAGCACCAAGTGCCTCACAGACAGGACAAGGGAAAGCAGGTAAGGCACAGGGATGTGGACATCCAGGTGGATTTATTACACGCAGGAATGGAAATTTCTTTTAAAAAAAAAAAAAAAAAGAAAAATCCCATTTGGGAATATTGATGCTGGGTTTACAGGATGGGCCTCATGGTGACAAAACGAAAATTGTAGGATTCCGGCAGGCCCTGGTGTCGCGTGTGGTTAAACCGTCTCCAGGTGAAGACAGGGAGACCCCCCTGCACCGGGGGGCCGTTGATGGCGGTGGCTGTGAACGCTGACGCCAGGCGGAAATCAGACACCTGTAACACAAGACAGGAGGTGAGGGCAGAAGGGCGGCCTGCTCTTTGACATGCACCCGTCCCACAGAGCAGGAACAGCTCCAGGAGGTTTGATAACGATAAAGAAAGCGAGCAAGGGGCAGTGCCTGCTGGTCAGGCAGCATTCCTCCCCTGCACGGAGGCATCTTCAGCCACAGAATGACAGCAGCAAAGCACAAGCCCGTGTTTCCCTCTAGTCCTTGGCCTGTCCAGGTTGAGAGAGGCAGCACATCTGTCCTCGGGACAATCCTCCCTGGGTTTGGGTGTCTCCAAAAGAGCTGGAGCTGCAGCAGCCAGCCAGCCAGCCTAGAGCCCTAGACCCCTAGAGGGTCTGACTTGAGCTCTGCTGCCTGTTAAGCACTCGGGCTGTCCCTGGGGGCACTGTCAGGGTAATTCAGGAAGGGAGACAAAGGCAGCACAGAGTTAATGCTGCTGCCCAGACTCTGCCCTGTTCCTTCATTATCTCCCCAGAGGTCCCCAAGTCTGCTCCATCTTTCCAAACTCGGAGACACTAAAATTGCCTTTAGTGTTTGTAACCGCCAGGTTTTGTCTCTGCTCTGGGCTATTTGTCTCAATGCCCCCTTAGGTCCCCTGCCCTCCCCCAGCCCATGCCCCTTCCCTAACTGTGCTGGCACAGGCACCACAACCAGCCTGCACTGACCTACTTCCCTGGCCAGACACCTCTACACAGCAATTTTCTGCAGTCACCTTGTAATAACCACCTCTGGGAGCTCCTACTGGCCACTACGGCAGGCCTGGGCTTGTGCAAGCTGACTGGACACACACACAGCACAGGCAATGCCAAAACAGCCTCCACAAGGCCCATCCTAGCAACCAAACTCCCAATCCAGGAAGGCAACAGGCTAAAGCACTGTACAGCTTCCCAGCACACCAGGACTGGGCAGCTGCTTACTCACATATCGCCCCTCACAGTGAAAATACCTGCCTAGAAAAACTGCTGCTTTCTTCAGGACAGCAGGGCTAAGGATCTTCGCACAGCTCCCCAGAAAACAAAGTGATCTTTACCAAACTTGGCTCAAAGGAGTTTCACAGAGAGGTGGAGCCCTGGAGCAGGGTGACTCACTGGAGAGCCAGGTTTTTGCAAAGGTAAAGCTAAAATGAGGGTGAAAACACATTCCTGTGGGTTCTGGGAAAGCACCCACACCATCCCTGTGAACAGGAGGCTGCACAACAGTCACCTTTCCTGAGTGAGGGGAAGATTCATTTCGGCCTTCCCTTAGGCTCCTCCTGCTGCAAGGCTTTGGGGTTTAACCCCTAAACACCACAAGTTCCCATCGACGTAATTCTTTCACACACCTCCCCCTGCACTCTCTGCCCTCTCCCACTGTGCCAGGCCTGGTGTCAGGGAGAGGAGACAGGACTCAGCACAGAATTGCCATCTGAGGATCTACCCAAGCACTGGGACAGCATGGAAAGAGGGATCAGACAGGCCTGGCCATGCTTACCCTGGTGCAGGGAAACATTCTACGGATCTGACAGGTGCACAAAGATTCAGCAGATACTGAAACTGAAGTAATTTACCTTGGAGTCATAGCAGCCTGCAGGCACTGGGAAAGAAGAACTCAGGTCTTCCCGGCAGCAAATGGTGTTGCAGGGATTGTGTTCGGCATAAGGATCGCGCTGGTAGTCTGGGGAGAAGCGGGGTGGGGAGAAAAGGAAGGAAGGAAGAGAAGAAAACAATTAGTTCCCTCACAAAAAGCCTCTACCACTGATGCAAAGCGCCCCAGCCACTAGAAGGTGGGTAAGTGCCCTGGCAGACACATGGGTCTATCACACCACTCTCATGCTCCTCCCCAGGTACCAGTTGGAAGTCAGTGCTTGAGACAGGACATTAAGTAGACAAGCTCCCAATCTAAGTCCATACAGCTACTTCTGCATTCCAGGGGCACCACTGCCAACCTCTAACCACAAATATCTGCAGCTCCACATGACAAAAGCTTCCTCATGAGAGAAAAGGAACTTTGTCAGGAGAAAAAAGCAGAAGAGAAAGGGAAGGGAGAAGAAGGTAAGGGAAAAATGCAGCAGTGAAAGCCTCTGTTTTCTTGTCTGGACTAAAATAAGTGGCAAGGAGCAAAGCCTCCAAACCTCCACTGTAGTAGCTGCAAGCCAGGAGGGGAAGGTTGAGAAGCCTCAACATCCATCAGCAGGCTGCTACTCACAGCCCAAACAGTAGAGATACCCCACCCTTGGAGAGGCCTCCCGAACCCCAAACCCAGTAATCAGCATGCTCCCTATAATTGGGAATGAAAATACGACATCTAGAGCTATCTGTACTTAGAGATGGACTTAGCGAGAAGTTAATTAAGCTGTTCTTAATCCAGGTAAATCCCTGTCAAGGAAAAGCAGAACAACACATTACCTACCAAAGATCATTCTGTCTGAACAGGATAAAAAACGAGGCCAAACTGACCTGAAGTTTTACACTAAATTCTCTGGTCTGATCTGACCTAACTCTGGCTTAAGATTTAAAGCTTTCAAGATTGACAGGCTGTAGATGTATTGACTACCAGCAGCCCGCAGAGTCTCTTGGAGTGTCAGAAGCTCTCTGAAAAGGTTGAACAGGAAGCCCAAGGGCCCTTTCTCTAGAAGAACCCAGTCTTGTTTCTGTTAGAGTAATTTTAGCCTGGTTTCCTAACTCAATAGTAAGCTTGTATTATCTTTTTGCTTTGTATGTACTCCTCACCTAGGGTAATACAGTTCTGATCTATAGGTCAGCCTGCAGCTTCCCGCTATAATTCAAGAAATAAAAGTAAGGTTGCTTTATTAAGATCAGCTCCACAGTACATAAACACGTGTCTTACTGTTGTATCTCATGATGTACTTCATGCTTTCCAAGCTGGTCACCTTGCCCTGGTCTCGACGGAAGATTTTTGCTCTTGGAGCAAGCTCGTAAGAGAAATCCATGCCATACTTCTCAACGTATGCCGCATACCCACTGAGATTGTAAATCTTTTCATGGAAAGGGATATTGTAGGAAGGCCAGTAACCTGCCAGAGACAAAACCCAATCTGTTAATCACTTAGAAAAGCTGAACAACCTTGTTTATATCAAAGAAGAAAAATAAGCAGCATGTCGAGGAATAACACGTCGAACTGGTTCGAACACAAGAAAATAAGGCAATAGTCACTGGGATGACAGAGTTGACTCCCAGTATAACACCACTGGAGACTGTACCCACGCAACCCGCCCCCAGACTTCCACCCTGAGGACTCATCCTGCAAAACAGCTGAGATCGGACTTGCAGGAGTCTGAGGTGAACACGCAGAGCGGCCACAGCCCTCCCACAGAGGTTTCCCTGCTGTCCTGGTTTCAGCTGGGATAGAGTTAATTTTCTTCCTAGTAGCTGCTGTGTCTTGGATTTAGTATGAGAAGAATGTTAATAGCACATATTGGTTTAGTTGTTGCTAAGTAATGTTTATATCAGTCAAGGACTTTTTCAGCTCCCACAGAAGCTTCCCATAGAAGTGCATTCTTTTACCATGATTATTATTATTGCTATATTTCTCTACCGTTACTCTTCTATTAAACTGCCTTTATCTTTTTTTCCTTTCCCCTTCTTTTCTCCCTACCCTCTACTGGGGATGGCAGAGGAAGTGAGTGGCTGCACGGTCCCAGTTGCTGGCTGGGGTTAAACCATGACATCAGCTCAACCTCAGAGGTGTGCAAGATCATTTATATCCACCAAAAATCCCAGCAAGAAGCTTGAAGTCACTGCCTTTTCCCCCTCCACTTCCCATCTCACCAAGGCAGAGCAACACTCTGTGCTGAGATGTCAGGGATGGACAGACAGTCACACACAGACAGACTAAGCACAGAGCTAAGAGGGGTGAAGGGGAGGCAGGTCCACAAAGAACACACACATGTGCTTTGTGCAGAGGTGGTTGGAAAGCTGTCCTTCCACTCAGTGATGAGGAGAGATGGGCGATAGCTGCTCATTTGCCAGTATCTGCCTTTAAGGGTTAAGTGACTGATGAGCAGAGCCCAGCCCTGCCCTAACTCTTCCAAGAGCAAGTGTGAATCCTGCAGTTTTGCTCACTCTAAAGAGCAGGGTTACTAGAGACAGTTTTAGGTAGGTGACATACACCTGCCTCAAACAAGACTAGTCTAGAAAACAGAAAAGCCAGGAGACCATCCAGGTCAGGATCTGGGTACAGCAAGTCCTGGAAGAAATAAAAATAGATACCTATACCTTAACATTAATTTTTAAAAAAATTTTTTTTTTTTCAAGGCAGGCACCAAGGGGTGTTTCATCAGGGAGTATATAACATGGGCTAGTCCCAGGAGCAGCGTGCTTTCAGGGACAAGTGCTCTTCAAAGCACTTGAGTTCCTGTTGTCAGGGCAATTTTGCTTCTCAAATCACACACACCAGGATTCGGCTTAGAGATTTACTCTCTAGACACTGGTAACTGCAGCACTCCATGTGTTAAGTTCAGCCCAGCACAACATGAGGAGTCTGTCTGTGAGACGCTCAAGAAAATCAACAGGGACTCACTGGGAGGAGAGACAGACAGCATAAGCACTGGAACACTGCCTGAGCAGAGGCCTTACCAGCTCGGGTCCTGCCTAACAGGCAGCAGAGACGGGAATACCCTGTCTGCTGGCATTTCCTTACGTGACCTAGAGCCTACCTGAAGGAAATAGGTTGTGTAAGTGTTGTGTTGTAATACAGGCATCCTCCAGAAATGAGCACACTTGCCATGAGCACCTGCTCTAATGACGCAGGCCGGAGGATACGGATACATCAGCTCCCAAACCAGCTGGGTTTAGTTGTGACTCAAGAAGGTGCTATTGTCTCACGTGAATGCAGTGCATACAGATGATCCCCTTCTCCCACCTGGAAAAACTTTTTTTTTTTCAATTGCTAAAACAGAAGAATCACAGAATGGTTAGAGTTGGAAGGGACCTTAAAGATCATCTAGTTCCAACCCCCCTGCCGTGGGCAGGAACACCTCCCACTAGACCAGGTTGCTCAAAGCCTTATCCTTATGGTCTTCAAACGCTTTCAGGAATGGGGCATCCACAACTTCTCTGGGCAACCTGTTCCACTATCTCATCACTCTCAGTAAAATATCTAATCTAAATCTCCCCTCTTTCAATTTAAAAACATTACCCCTTGTTCTATCACTCCACTCCCTGATAAAGAGTCCCTCCCCATCTCTCCTGTAGGCAACCTTTAGGTACTGGAAGGTTGCTATAAGTCCCTGGAGCCTTCTCTTCTCCACACTGAACAACCCCAACTCTCTCAGCCTGTCTTCATAGAAGAGGTGTTCCAACCCTCTGATAATCTTTGTGGCCCTTCTCTGGACCCGTTCCAACAGGTCCATGTCCTTCTTATGTTGAGGACTCCAGAGCTGGACACAGTACTCCAGGTGGGGTCTCACAAGAGCAGAGTAGAGGGGCAGAATCACCCTCCTTGCCCTACTGGCCACACTTCTTTTGATGCAGCCCAAGATGTGGCTGGCTTTTGAAGCTATCTGACATTCTCTTCCTGCAAGAGCTGTTCTGTGTCTCAGGCTCTGCCAGACTGCAAGTCCCATGAAGACCACGCAGCGCCCAGCCTAAGGCAGGCTTTACCCAAGGGCTGCATTAAGGCAGTGAAACCTGCCTGTGAGGCCTGACAGGGTGAACAGTGACAAAAACAAGTCCGAGGTGGCGTAAGGTTGAAAGTGGGGGTAAAGGGGACAACATGAAGGCAGTAAAAATTCTCCAAAACAAAATGCCTTCCTCCTCTGCCCAGAGCAAAAGATCTCAGCAATATCAAGAGATCAATGAGAATATTAGGTGTATGGTAGAAGAGACTGAGATCCCAGGTTCTGATCTGATGTGATGCTTTTGATTCTGAAATAGATGCACTACTTCCTCATCATAAGGAAACGTGAAATGCAGCCCACTCCTATCCCTAAACTGGAGACAGTACTCCTCTCCCTCATCTCCTTTAAAGGATTCCTGATTTTCTTTGTCAACATATAGAAAACACCTTGCCATCTTTGCCTGGAAAAGGCAACACAGGAGATTCCTGGTTTTTAGAACTCACCTGTACTGGGCTAAGAGTCAAGCTGATAGAAGGCATTAAAAAAAAATATCTTTCCATTTTCAAACCCATGCTTGAAAAAATTGCATTGAAAAATGCTTGCTTTTTCCTCAGGGCTTACTACAGCAATGCCTGCCTTTGCTCACTTGAGAACTCAATTCTCATTCTCCATTGTTTCTATGTTTATGCTTGAAAGAGACTTTAAAAGCCACTGCTGGTCCAAACTCACCCTGACCAGGCCAGTGTGAAGAGAACATTATCTCTGGATACCACCTACAGGGCTATTATAGAGTGTGCTGAGGTCAGCAACTCCACAAACACTTTAAGCCAGCACTGCTCTTGAGAAAGGCAAACTTCCTTCACCTGGGCTGCTCCAAGTGCTAGGGAACAGGGCAGGGGCCTTGATGGAACTTGTCTGGTGCCCTGCGTGGCACAGAGGAGTCCAAATCTGCTGCTTACAGGAGCAGTGCTTTGGTCTCTAAGGCAGCACTTCTGGGGTGCTTAGCCCACCTGGTGTGCTAAGGGCTGCCCTCCTCATGTTTAAGCTGCCAGAGACTGCTGCGTTATCCAATATACACAAGGTGCATTTAGATACCTGGGAAGAGCCATACTGTACGTGTAAATTAACATGTAACTTCTAATACATGCTGCCACCTCCCAGAACACAGCAGCCACAAGATCTCCTAGGAGGCACCAAGCGGTCACTGCGTGGCCAAGCCCAGGAGTTGGGCTCCATCCTACAGGGAATCCCACACAGCAGCTCTCTTTATTGCTTAGAGTGCCAGAACTAGAGGTCTCCATTAGCTTTTTTTTGTCTGTACCACAATCTACAACACACCACAGAGGAGCCCCCAACACATTCCACCATCTGAAATATGCACAAACGTTTGAAAATAAGGTGCAATAGCCTACTTCCATCTCTTCAACAGATAAAAGAGGCAATGAAGCATAAGGCAGAGACAAGGGATTTTTCCAAATTATCAATAAGAAACATCTCATAAAGCCATATTGACATTACTGCAACGCCTAAAATAAGATAGGACTTTCCAAGGAGCCAGACACAAGTAAAAATCCAAAGGGAAACAACTTCAGCTGCTAAAAAATGCATGTCCAATCATTTTGATGATGAAGAGCAATTCACCAATTCACCTTCTGAGCATGCAATTAGAGGAGGGAGCACAAAACACCAGACATACACTTAAATTTGTGGAACGAGCTCAGGCTTTTGGATACTGACAAAGTGTCTAGAAAACACTTGTGAATGAAACCTGACAGTGGGTGTTTGGCTTTACCTAGATTTTTGTTTGTTTGTTTGTTTTCTATCAAGTTGTTGTTAGTCCTGCTAGGGGATTAAGGATTTTAAACAGCAAATGCTTATCAGATAACAGAGCTCCAGAAAAGTTCAGGAGCTGATTCTAACATAGAACTTCTATCATATTTAAAAGCTCATCTCCTTGTAGGGTGCCAAACTCACCAAACATTTCAAGGAGCCCACAGCATCAAGCTACTTAGTACTGCTTCAAACAGAGCTCACCTTTTTCCTCATGGGTGTCTGAGACAGGGCAAAATAATATCAGAAAAAAAGAAGCAAGAAAAAGAAAATGAGACAAGGTAAAGTCTGGGTTTTTTCCTCCTCTGCTTTTAAGAAACAGAGATGTTCACCACATTTCTGCTGCAACACACAGGAGAAATGCATATGTTATAGACCTGGCAACAGAGGGATGCTCAAAGCTTTCTAACTTGAAACTCAGCATGAGTGTTCAATAAACAGGCACGAAGCACCATTGTCCATGAGCTGGCACAAAGAGATGGCTTTCTTAAGCCACTATCTACTACAGGAGCTATTACCTTTCCGGAGAACATTTGTTTGATCAGAATACTCCACAAGGGTTGGAATCTGTTCAACAATGTACAATGCACCATCATCAAGGCTCTTCTGCAGCTTGACCTTTTTCAGGTCCAGCACCATGTACTGATTGTTGTAGGTGCCTAGGTATGAGAGCAGAGAGAGTGAGTTACACATCCTGCCTGGGGAAGGAAAAGGGGGAGAGGGAACACATGCTTTTTTTTCTAAGATTCACATGAAAAGCGTACTCACCAGAGTTGCACTTTGAGAAGGTTTCTGCCCAAGTTTTACCATCATCTGCCATCATGTTAGCAATGCGGACCCTCTGCCAAGCTAAGAGGGATTCAGGTACCACTTGCTTAATGAGGGTTTGGTTGAACACACTGTTGGTAGTCTGCAACATTACCAAGCCGCTGCCTAGTATGTAGAAGTCATCCAGGGACACCAAAAAGCCTTAAAAAGCAATAATACAAAACTTGTTATCTTTGTGAACCTTTGATATACTCATAGAACAAAACAGAGAGACAAGCCAAGAGAATATGCAGGAGTCAACACCTGTGTGTTTGAAATCAAACTGTACAAATACTAAAGATGAGGTGGTGACTTCTGCTTTAAGTGCTTTAAGCTCATCTGTCAGCACAGTTTCTCATTTGTCATGCTTTCAACACATAACCTAATTCTTTGTCTATAGCATTTGCTTCACATTTCCATCCCAAGCTTGGAATTTTCTCCTTCATACATCAGGCTGTGTCTTATGCTGAGGATTACATACTTTAAGTGCCTTGTGACTGCTTGTTTCTAACAAAGAAATCCCTTTAAAAAATACAACAAAGAAAACCAAAATAACAGTACAAACTCCACAAACAGTTTTTCATCAGCTAGTTTCAGTTTTAGATTTTTATTCTGTAGGGACACCAGGTATTCCTTTAAATTACTCCCTTCTGGACTAAATCAAGCCAAGCAAAAAAATATTCCTTCTAGTTTAATCCTTTCCAGTCTAACTATTCCTAAAAGCATCTCCAAGAAATGGGCAACTCTTAAATCATAAACCACGTTGTGTATACGAGAGGAAGTTTTACCTACTCCTTCTTCTGACATGTTGTCATTGGGGTTTTTTTATGCCTATCAGCCCTGCAAACTCAACACAGCCATGGATCTCCAGGCAGGATTCCCTTCCAGGTTACATGCCAACAGAAGTCCTAGGTCCAATTGCAGATCCCACACCAGGAGGTGGTAACACAGAGCTGCAAAGGTCAGCTGTAATGCCATGGATAGCATGGTGACTACTTACAAAGCAGAAATAACTTGACTTTGAGATTCCCCAGTGGCTACAGGGCTGCCAGGCTGGGGAAGGAAGGTTGTTAACTGAGCTCCTGAGGGAGAAGTCATCCAGAACCTTGTCCCTTGCTAATGAGTTTTTAATGGTATCACTCTTCAAAGAGTACAAAATGCTGCACAACAGCATAAGAGCTGAGTTCCACTACGAAATCTTCTAGAGCAAGCTTTATTAATGCCCTCTGCAAACAAACTCAAGTCAGCAACCTATGACAGCCAGAAAGACAACTCAGCTCTGCCTCCTATTCCTGTGCTTTTGATCCACTTCAAGCAAAGGTAATGTTTAAGGGTTCCATTTCAGCAAGATTTCTTTAGAGTCTCAAGTTCTCAAATCAAAACAGATCCAGGAAAATATACTTTGTGGTCGCCCGTTCTCTAAAAATATGTCTGTATAGAACAGACAGAGCACCCTGGTAGCTTGTGGTTCCTAGTATTTTATTCTTGGAGACAGAAACAGCGTCAATAAATTATGTACATCAACAGCAGAGTTCTTTCTCAAATAAGTAAGGACAGAAGAAAAACACTCTAAACCTGGCTCTGCCAGTCTATTTTATACAAAGACATGTGATACTCCAGTGATAAACTGTTGTGTAAAAAGTCAAGTGCTTGCCCAAACAGAAACAAGAAATGGAACTGGTAAACAACTGCAATTCAAATTGAATGCCAATTCCCATATGGGTGCAAATGCCAAGTGCCCTACTTCAAAATAAACCAAATAGCTTTTTCTTCTTTTTTCAATCACCAGCTGAAATACAACAGAAAAACTCAAAGCAAGTGTCAACACAAGGAATGATACTGAATTAACTGAAGTTTGAACCCTGTAATTCAAATAAATTGCTAAGTTCAGCTGAAAAAAAGGGGATTGCCTTCTGGGCCCTAGTATTTGCCAAGTTTTACCTTGCAATGCTTTATATTGTATGCCCTCCATGATACACCATCAGTAGCCTAATTATCCCAAGACAATATATACCATTTTGACTTAAGGCATAGGCACCCCAGAAACAAAGGGAAGTTAAACACATACACCAGGTTTACCCAGGGCAAAGACATCCACAAAAGTAAAACCTATGTGAAGCCTAGAGGTATCAGCAGATATTTGAGGTCCTCTTGTGTCATTCTTGTTTTTATAAGTATGTATGAGACTATTGTAATTGAAAATGCCTTTCATGTCAAATGTTATCTCACTGTACAGTTCACCTATTTTTTCCATGAACCCATGTCCCATTTTTATCAGAATCTCTCAATCAATTATTTTTCTTTTTTTTTAACTCCCTCCGTAGACACAGGCAAAAGTACTTCTGATTGCACCTTCTGGTTGCGAGCCATTTAGATTCAGTTTCCAGTCACCACTGGAAAACTGAAGTTTCCAGAGTCTGGAGTTTCATTTATCATGGCATTAACCAGCCAAGCAAAGCAAAACATTTTTTGAAATCTGAGCCAGAGTGTTCTCTGGAGAGTCAGCACACCGAAGAGTATGTGGGGGGTAACACACTCCTGGCAGCTACTGTTCCTAGAGGTAGGCTGCTGCTTTCTGAAGCAGATGGCATCAGCTTTTTTTGGCATCTTAAAAGGTCATTGTGTCCATTCAGGTACAGAAAGGGTCAGTATTACGGGCTGGAAGCCAGAGAGACATGAGGTCTAGCCATCATCTCACAGGGACAAGAGTAGCTGCTGGCCAAGGTGCTCAATGTTCTGGGCTATAAACACACTTGACAATGGGAAAGATGTCTTCTCTGGTCTAGTTTTCTTAATTGCATCGGCAGCTACTTCTCCTGTCAAGACTGAACTCCCAGCTGCTGCCTGCCTTCCACTTGCAGACCTCTCCTAGGCACTAAGCAATAGCACACTCCACACTATAGCACTGTCCTGTCATCTCCAAAGTGCATCAGACACTCCATCTCAAAAGTACTTCATATGTCCCACAAAACACAGCACTTACCTAGTCTCTGTCACCGCATTTCTTACCACCCAAAATGAGCATAATTTCACTCAACATTTGTGAGCAACTGTAACATGTCTCTACAATTTAAGTTCCCTCTTCTCTGCACGGATTCACCAACCACATTAAGTACTTATGTCCAGAGCTTGAGAAAGACACTGAACTCAGGGGTGCCCAAGTATTCAGCTCAGAGGCTGAGGTTCACAAAGGTTCACAAACCTTTCCAGAGGTTCACAAAGCTGTGAGAGCTAAGACTATGAGCAGAGTTCAAGTGAGGATTAGGATTCGTGTGGAAATGAGCAGCAAGTGGCTAAATAATTTTGCAAAAGCAGAGATTACTACTCCCATTCACTTCCACTTGACTGTGCCTCTGCAGGGCTACTGTTGATCTGAAAGGGAGAAAGCAGCAAAGAGGCAACATGCTGTAACAGTGGACATTTGAGCGTCCTGGCAGGAATGTGGGGAACTGCTGGGGAAGCTGGGATGGACTCCAAAATTCCTGCCTGTCCTCCTACCTGCTCAGTCACAGCAGGAGCTAGGAAGCGCAAGGCCCTCTAGCTGTATCATAATGTACATGCCCAACATGCATCATGGTTAGTGAATAGTCTTAGATCCTTTGAGTCACAACAAACAGTAATTCTTGAGTGCAGTAGTCTGTCTCTTGAAAATTGGTAAATAAGCAGTCTGAACAATTTTACCCTGTGGCCCCAGGAGAAAACAGGGAGTTGGCACATTCCTTCTCAGAAGGCAAAGGACTCCTTGAAGCTTTTCTGACACAGCTTTTGGACAGCAGAAGACCTTTACTTCATATCCAATCTATTGGATGACAGAATCTTTTAATTACTCAGTTAAGTGTCACTGAAAGCCTGGAAGGACACCTGTTTTTTTTAATGCTGTTTCGTCCAAAAAGTCAATACTTCTATATACATTAGAATCATGTTACTATTCAGGAAAGCTGGTTAGCTTGCCCTTTATTACTGGTTCTTAGTGTCTATCAGGATGGAGAATAAGAGTGGGATCTTGCATGCAGGGAGAAGTTACACTCGTCGAGCCACGGCCACGACCTGCAGATTCCATGGCCAGATGCCCTGAACATATAAAACTTTATCTCATCAGAACATAGAGAAAGGAATTTGGCAGCTCTTTCCTTCCTGTGTGATGGACCTTGATCATTACCAGGCCAGTGCTTTAGAGCTTGCTCATCCTCTGGAAAACTGCAAGTGTGAGAGCTACACCCACAGCTAGTGTAATTTGCTGTAGTCAATGGATCATGCTTGTCTAGTGCTTGTGATAGCACCCTATAATTAAGTGGCCAGTAACTACACTTTACATACCACAGGTCTCCCAAACTTCACTGTAGCCATGGGAACTATGTTTTGCAACAGTTCTCAATTTTATAGTACAAGTACACCTTACCACATCACTGTGTCAGTCTACCCACTACAACTAAGCTTTCAAAGGAGCCATCTCTGCAGATCTCAACAACCTCGGGGAAGCACACTGGGATTTTGTGCACTAGTGAACAGATCCTCACCATTTCAGCACAGTAGTAGCTGATTTTCAGGTATCCTCCCATACAGCAAGTGCGATCACTCTCATCAAAACAGGAGACTTGTATTTTACTTTATCCAAAAAATCCACAAAAGGATCGCAGAGACACCCACTAAAAATAAAAGAAGTGTTCTGCGTGGCTGATCTTGACCCCCAGTTTGAATCTGCAGCACAATGCAGCATGCAATGGTTGGGAAACAGAGCGACATTCTTCTGAAGGATAGCACTACCCTCAACAGTATTTCTGCTGAGAGATATGAGATCCAGAATAACCTTCCGAACATTCAGCTGATGAACAGAGCTCAGACAGAAAACCTGGCTTTCTACCAGGTTACACCGGCTTGGCAAAATTCCTTGCAACAAGCAAGTGAAATTCCTCCACGGGAATCAGAGATAAACCCAAAACTCTTAAAAGGCTGTGCACTTAGACATTGCCAGAATACCTCTACTCCTTCCTCAAAGCAAAAAATCTCAGCTGTCAGAAAATGCTGCATTCCTGATCATCACAGAGGAGGGTCAGAACCCCAGAAGGAAAAAAAAAACAACAAACTGCTTTCAGCATGAAATGAATGCAACTGCTTTTCAAAACAGTTTCCCAGTCACAGTCTCAGGAGTCCCTTGCCTTTATAGTAAAGCAAGCACAGCAATTCAACAGAGCACGTTTTGAAATCATCAACCAACAGAGTTTCATCAGAATCAGTCTTCTAAAGCACATACTTCACTTTAAAAAGTTTATGAAGATTCATGAGTGTTTGGGCATTTTTCAGTTGGAAATCTCACCTTTAAAAACTTACACAATGCTTACTCTTAGAGTCTTAGATTTGCTTTGGTTTTTCATGTTCACATTTCTTAGTGCTACTTTTGTAAAAGTACATATTTTACCACTGAAATATTAAATGCTGGCAATTTCTAATGTTCTTTCAGGAAACTCAGGAATATTATATGCTGCCTAATCTTCCCCAGGGAGATTTTAAATATTCTAGCTGGCTATATTACTAACACATGAAACAAGCATTAAAAAAACCCCTGCTCTTTGCAATAGCTTACACAGAAGCTGGAAGGGGATGGGATGGGGAGGGGGATGGACAAAAAACCAAAACAACTGAAGGTTTGCTAACCCAACACCAAAGAACTCCATACAATTTTAAATGGCTAATGTGTCCCATTAGAGCACGAGTCACACCACAGTGGTTAACAGGAGTGTTCAAAACTGTTATTACCAAGCGTGCGAATGCTGTAGGCAAGGTGAGAAGTTCAGGAGCCGAGATGACTGCAGACTACACCAGCAGAATTCAAAGCAGCATGTTTGTGCCAGACGTAGAATATTTAACTAGTACTATTCAGAGCGCTGAAGGTGATTAATCAACAACAAAAGACGATGACAACAACATGATGTTGAAGCCAGAAAACAGAAGACGACATTTTGTCCTCTCAGCGGCTAAAAGTTTTAAGGTAGATTGAAGCCAGTGCTTGTTGGGGGACCATCCTTTTTATAGGCAAGACATCTGCAAGACAGTAAGACGGTCCGTGCCATCTCGGATATCTACATTAATTTGGGGTTTCTTGATTTACCTGGATAACTGCTGAATGAGACACGGCTGGTGCTAGTGTATGGATCAACTATATTGAAGTTCCAATGCTTATATATTCTCAGTGTGGCCGCATACGTAAACCAGCTGGAATGGGCAAAATATATATTCTCATATCCAGGCAGAACCTGGAAAACAGAAGCAGTAAGATGAATAATTTCAGACCCTACTATACTCTGCATGTTTTGTACTTGACAGAAACTGGGAGAACAACTTGTTTTAAGTAGTTTGATTAATTGCACTGTTCAAGAAGGAGCAGATTCTTGTACTTTTAACTGCGTACTCAACAATGAATTTCTGAAGCCTCTGGAAATAATTCTTGCTCATGTGTTGTTTTCAAATAATTAGTTGTTATTTTTCAAAATGAAACATCTTCGGTTTTTTGGGGACACTTACATCACATGGAATGCTTCGTTCCCCCAGTTTCTTCTTGAATACTTGTATTTACACATTCAGATCAGCTCTCTGCAAACATATCCAACATTAACCTAGAACATGCTGTTTCTGTGAAAATGTGTTCAGGTGCTTTAAAGTACAGAAGCAAATGCAACTAAATTAATTTTGAAAAGGTAAATATATATTGATAGGATATATTTTCAAAGTATTTCCCTGATTCTAAGATTTTGTTGTTACCTCAGAAACCTCCTACTGTAGGAAAATGCCTGAATGAATGCTTCTCAATTTAAGGTGAATATTGTTGCTCTGAAACACATGGAGTCCCCATATGCTGACTAGATCCTTGATAACTTTAACTGAAAATTTTAATTGCCACCGTGAGGTATCAGATACTTATCCTTCCCTTCCTCCCTTCTTATTTGCCCAATGTATTTGTAGACATTCACAATACCCCCTTTCAGGCTTCACTTGGCTAGGTGAAAAAAGTTACCCTCTTCCAGTCTCCTCTCTATGGCAGTTACCCATTCCCTAGTAATTCTAATAGCTTTTCATTGTCAATCTCTGTGGTTTTGCTTTGATTTGTTTTTTTCCCCTGCTGTTGAAAGTGGAAGTGAGTAAAACTGGACCCAGAATGCTATGGAGGCACAAATGACAACTGCATAAAAGCACCTTGATTGACAGAAGTCTCTTTATGCACCTGTAACAAACAGTGAAGACTCCAGAAATGCAGACTTATGACACTACAAATCAACACAGTCACTGGAGATTAAGTTCTTGGTGCTCACCTTGATAAGTGCAGAGCAGTGACCCATATCCCACTGGTATTTCCCATGGCTTCCTGGCTCCATGTTGCATTGTCCACCCCGGGCAGAATACTCAAACAATGCAGGAATGAGGTCCAACAGGTCTCCAACTGCATTCAGAAACTGGACATCAAAGATGCTCAGTGGCTGAGGAAAGGGAGAGAAGAGAGATCACAAAAAGCACTTTCAGACAGAGAAGCATCCAGACAGTCTCAGCTGTTAGAATTTTTCTTTTGCTCTCCAAAGAAGCTCTTATACGGTCTATGAAATACCTGCTCACAAGCCCCAGATGCTCAAATTCAGTGTTGAGTTAGGCACTTAGGTATCTTTAAGGGTCTGGCCCTTCTAGTGGCATTATCAATGCTAACATTTCTGAGGAAAAAAGGAGACGCTGGCAGTAACTTATGAAACTTGTGTGTGTCTTTGCCAACAGCATACCAATCAGTCTGCTGTTACTGTTATGCTGGGGTAAGAAACACAAAAAAATTAAATCTTACTATCTAGATGCCTTCGAAGAGCATCACATTAACAAACACTCTTGGGAGTTCTCAGATTTTTATAAAGACTGTGATTTAAGACGTCCTTATGACTGAGGAAGAAACAGATGAGAGAAGCAAGATACATTAACAATACTACTAATCAAGTATGGAACTAGCTGAGGAGAGGCAGCCGGTCAAAAGGCACTCAGCTACGCTACCTGCTTGCAAAAACACCTTATGGTTAGAGCTGGCCAGGGTTAAATACACACAGCTCATTGTGCAACACGCTCTTCAGAACCTTCTCTTAATTCTCCTCTTCAAAAATACAAGAGCTCAACAGCGGCCTAACCTCAATCTTCAAAGACCATTTTCTAAACCTTTCCTGTTCTTTCTTGCACCGTGCCTGTAGTTAAGGCAAGGCTTAGGGAAAAGAAGTCAGAACACACATTGCTGTAGGGCTATGAACAGTAATTTTAGAATGGGACAATCATATAGCAAAGAAATACATTGCTTACAACATAAATCACTGTTATTAAACCATATAGCTGACCTCTCTACAAACCCCAATAAAAGGGAGACAAGGACATGGAAAAAATAAACACTGCCAAATCCATTTACTTTTTATTCAGAAGCCTGAATTCTGTATTGCCCATCTGCTGTTTTGGTAGAGAGAATAACCAACAGGAAAACCAAAAATAATGTGAACTCTAGCCCAAATACCCCAGGGGAAGGAATTAAACCTTCCCAAAACGCTTACCAGGACAAGTGAGAGAAATAAGCCACTCTCAAAACTAAAATCATGCATTGCAGAAGGCCCTAACAGCAGATAGTAGTTTGACGAAGAAATCCAAAGCAAACTTTCATATACGTTACATTACTTTACCTAACCATGTTTTTGCTGTAAGGACCCAAACAGTGAGCAGCAAAGACCACAACTGATAAACATCAAGAGATGTATCCTGGGATAATTTTAAGCAACTCAGTTGTATGAATCATTTACAAACAAGTCCCAACAACTGCTATCTCACTGGGATCCATAAAGAGAGACTTGGCACTGTTTCAGCACAATTTTCGCCCATCCAGCTGCACTTAAAGGTCTGCAAGCTGTTCTCCAACGTCCAAGTTACACAAGCATTACTGTACAGTACCACCAGGAGGGGAGCAAAGAGGATTGCATATAAGAACGCTCAGCATGTATAAAATGATATACATTTTAATTGCACTTGCCATCCATTTGCTACCTGTTGTGGGCTGACCCTGGCTGGACGTCAGGTGCCCACCAAAGCTGCTCTGTTGCTCCCCTTCTTCAGTTGGACAGGGGAGAGAAAAATGTAACGAAAGGCTTGTGGGTCGAGATAAGGACAGGGAGAGATCACTCACCAATTACTGTCATGGGCAAAACAGACTCAACTTGGGGAATTAATTTAATTTACTACCAATCAAAATCAGAGTACAGTAATGAGAAATAAAGACCTTCTCCCTCCCACCCTTCCCAGGCTCAGTTTCACTCCTGAATTCTCTAATTCCTCCACCCCAGCAGTGCAGGAGAACAGGAATGGGGACTGCAGTCAGTCCATCACATGCTGTTGCTGCTGCTCCTTCCTCCTCAGGAAGGAGGAGGACTCCTCACACTCTTCCCCTGCTCCAGCTTGGGGTCCCACCTACAGGAGAGAGTTCTGCACAACAGGGTGCAGTCCTTAAGGAACAGACTGCTCCAGCATGTGTCTCCTTCCATGGGGTGCAGTCCTTCAGGAACACACTGCTCCAGTGTGGTTCCCCTGTGGGGTCACAAGTCCTGCCAGCAAACCTGCTCCACCATGGGCTCCTCTCTCCACAGGTTCACAGGTCCTGCCAGAAGCCTCCTCCAGTAAGGGCTTCCCACAGGGTCACAGCCTCCTTCAGGCATCCACCTGCTCCAGCGTGGGACCCTCCACGGGCTGCAGGTGGATTTCTGCTCTACCATTAACCTCCATGGGCTGCAGAGGGACAGCCTACCTCACCATGGTCTTCATCACAGGCTGCAGGGTAATCCCTGCTCTGGTGCCTGGAGCACCTCCTCCCCCTCCTTCTTCACTGATCTTGGTGTCTGCAGAATTGTTTCTCTCACATACTCTAACTCCTATCTTCTGCTGCAGTTGCCATACAGAGTTTTGGTTTTCCCCTTCTTAAATATGTTATCCCGGGGCACTACCACCGTCACTGATTGGCTTGGCCAGCAGCAGGTCCCTCTTGGAGCTGGCTGGCATCACTCTATTGACACAGTGGAAACTTCTAGCAGCTTCTCACAGAAGCCATCCCTATAGCCCCCCTCACTACCAAAACCTTGCCACACAAACTAAATCCACTTCCACATAATATTCTACTCCATAAAACCTGGATTCATTGCAACATCTACAAGCAGCTACACTGACACTGCTACAGCATCACTTAAAATTGCCTGTATATTTTTTAAAAAGTTCCACATCTCTGTGTTATCTTACAGTCATTTCAAATCAAAAATTCATTAACTACCAGGAGGTCCATTCAATCTAGTCAAAGGTTCTAGGCAAGGAAGCAATCAGAAGTATATGTGCAGAAAGGTGGCCAGAAAATTCCTCCACCCCAGCAGTGCAGGAGAACAGGAATGGGGACTGCAGTCAGTTCATCACATGCTGTTGCTGCTGCTCCTTCCTCCTCAGGAAGGAGGAGGACTCCTCACACTCTTCCCCTGCTCCAGCTTGGGGTCCCACCTACAGGAGAGAGTTCTGCACAACAGGGTGCAGTCCTTAAGGAACAGACTGCTCCAGCATGTGTCTCCTTCCATGGGGTGCAGTCCTTCAGGAACACACTGCTCCAGTGTGGTTCCCCTGTGGGGTCACAAGTCCTGCCAGCAAACCTGCTCCACCATGGGCTCCTCTCTCCACAGGTTCACAGGTCCTGCCAGAAGCCTCCTCCAGTAAGGGCTTCCCACAGGGTCACAGCCTCCTTCAGGCATCCACCTGCTCCAGCGTGGGACCCTCCACGGGCTGCAGGTGGATTTCTGCTCTACCATTAACCTCCATGGGCTGCAGAGGGACAGCCTACCTCACCATGGTCTTCATCACAGGCTGCAGGGTAATCCCTGCTCTGGTGCCTGGAGCACCTCCTCCCCCTCCTTCTTCACTGATCTTGGTGTCTGCAGAATTGTTTCTCTCACATACTCTAACTCCTATCTTCTGCTGCAGTTGCCATACAGAGTTTTGGTTTTCCCCTTCTTAAATATGTTATCCCGGGGCACTACCACCGTCACTGATTGGCTTGGCCAGCAGCAGGTCCCTCTTGGAGCTGGCTGGCATCACTCTATTGACACAGTGGAAACTTCTAGCAGCTTCTCACAGAAGCCATCCCTATAGCCCCCCTCACTACCAAAACCTTGCCACACAAACTAAATCCACTTCCACATAATATTCTACTCCATAAAACCTGGATTCATTGCAACATCTACAAGCAGCTACACTGACACTGCTACAGCATCACTTAAAATTGCCTGTATATTTTTTAAAAAGTTCCACATCTCTGTGTTATCTTACAGTCATTTCAAATCAAAAATTCATTAACTACCAGGAGGTCCATTCAATCTAGTCAAAGGTTCTAATTCCTCCACCCCAGCAGTGCAGGAGAACAGGAATGGGGACTGCAGTCAGTCCATCACATGCTGTTGCTGCTGCTCCTTCCTCCTCAGGAAGGAGGAGGACTCCTCACACTCTTCCCCTGCTCCAGCTTGGGGTCCCACCTACAGGAGAGAGTTCTGCACAACAGGGTGCAGTCCTTAAGGAACAGACTGCTCCAGCATGTGTCTCCTTCCATGGGGTGCAGTCCTTCAGGAACACACTGCTCCAGTGTGGTTCCCCTGTGGGGTCACAAGTCCTGCCAGCAAACCTGCTCCACCATGGGCTCCTCTCTCCACAGGTTCACAGGTCCTGCCAGAAGCCTCCTCCAGTAAGGGCTTCCCACAGGGTCACAGCCTCCTTCAGGCATCCACCTGCTCCAGCGTGGGACCCTCCACGGGCTGCAGGTGGATTTCTGCTCTACCATTAACCTCCATGGGCTGCAGAGGGACAGCCTACCTCACCATGGTCTTCATCACAGGCTGCAGGGTAATCCCTGCTCTGGTGCCTGGAGCACCTCCTCCCCCTCCTTCTTCACTGATCTTGGTGTCTGCAGAATTGTTTCTCTCACATACTCTAACTCCTATCTTCTGCTGCAGTTGCCATACAGAGTTTTGGTTTTCCCCTTCTTAAATATGTTATCCCGGGGCACTACCACCGTCACTGATTGGCTTGGCCAGCAGCAGGTCCCTCTTGGAGCTGGCTGGCATCACTCTATTGACACAGTGGAAACTTCTAGCAGCTTCTCACAGAAGCCATCCCTATAGCCCCCCTCACTACCAAAACCTTGCCACACAAACTAAATCCACTTCCACATAATATTCTACTCCATAAAACCTGGATTCATTGCAACATCTACAAGCAGCTACACTGACACTGCTACAGCATCACTTAAAATTGCCTGTATATTTTTTAAAAAGTTCCACATCTCTGTGTTATCTTACAGTCATTTCAAATCAAAAATTCATTAACTACCAGGAGGTCCATTCAATCTAGTCAAAGGTTCTAGGCAAGGAAGCAATCAGAAGTATATGTGCAGAAA